CAGGGGCTTTCTCATAGTATTGTTTTCATATAATGTTAAGCCTATGGAGGTTTTTAGATTTGAATATTATTACTGTAACTTTCCAAACTGCCCCTGGACACACTGAACCCTGCAGCCAATCCCAACCCAAAACCACTCCACGAATAATAAATCCATATTCTTGGTAAACTGAATTACCACCGACACATACATATACCTACACACTGTATATCCTGATGAAGCACCGACAGGTTAGTTGAAGTTAACGGTCACAAACTGACTTATGGTTTTACAGTATGCTGTTGGTCGCTCTGGGCTGTAGGCTAACACGTGAAACAACATAATAAGGCTGGAAAAGCACGGCGGACTATCAGAGTATCCATCTGTTGACACAATCAGACAACAGAGGTTTCTTTGGTAGGTAGGATGAAGAAGATCGAAGTAAACATGACTTATCCTATAGGCTCTCTTGTTAGGCGGGTGCAGGGCTGAAAACCATATATCCACACTTCAAAAATAACTCTTCAAAGTCAATGTGAGGAAATCTGTCAGGTTGTACAAAAACATGATTCAAATAAATTCCGTCTTCACAGATGGCTGTATAAATTTAAACACATCAGGCTAAACACAAATGGAACATGGGTCTTGAATAAATAGTACAATTGGCTCTTAACTCTCTACTGTGGTCAAATAGCTGTACTCTGAACACGTTCCAAAGGTCAGATTTACCATAATGGAAAAAGATTTCATATTAACAGTATAGCACATCAAGATAAACTCCTTCTACGGAATCAAAGAGCTAACCAAACACTTCACTATCACTACGGCGCTAGCTCACATAGTCCCATCACTTTTACAACTACTGTAAAAGTAACTACAGTAAAGTGACAACTGCTCCTTAAACACACATTTGATTGTAATTATAAGCATTATTTGGCTGCTATTTATAAAATCAGGAAACCTACCATTTCTGTTACTTATATACTTACAAAGGTTTATTTTCTGATCGCGGACAATGACAGTGTATTGGTGATCTGAACAAAATAAAATCTTAACGTGAGCAAACTGTTAGCAAACATCTCACAAATTAAGCAACAATTTTTATTTCAAAAAATTATACAAGGCTTCTAACAGGGCAGCATCGTAGACTGTATGGAGGACATGACAGCTCCAAAAAGTGAAGCCAAATCCTCTTGATAGCCCCCTAGTGGCTGGCTGCAGTACATGCCATGAACTCCATCTCCTACATGTTAGTGAATGGGACGTGGACTAGTAAGTAAAAGTAAAAAGTCAAAGTCTGCGTCAAATTATTTCCTCAAAGACTTTGGGTAGATCTATCTCACTGTGGTGTTCAATTACTCATTTTTTCTGTAGGTTTGGATTTAATTAGGGTTGTCTACCGAAATAGCACTGGTCTCTACTTGGACGGCACCTACCGAACGTGTCTCTCTCTCTCTTTTTTAAGAAATAAAAGAGTCAGTTACTTGATGGAATTAAAACAGGGGGGACATCAGGACTGACAGCTGAGACTGACTTGTGATTAGTCGGGCATGTGTATTAGCTGGACTTCGATACCACAGCTCCACACCACAATAATTACACTGCACACTCTGGCTCCAAATGACGCCAAAAGTGCAAGATGACAGCACCTGTATCCAAGATATTTTGGCATCAGTTTTTGCACAATGGAAAGAAATGGAGACACATCGTCCATCTTTTTATTCAGTCTATGGGCAGCACTGACATCTTTCCAGGGTCAAATATAGCTACTGCAACTAAATTTCATATGGCAGATGTGTGGTTGTCCCATCAGAAGAATTCAGGGAAGTTGTCAGTTACTTTAAAATATGCTAAATTATCTTTGCTCTACACAGCAGATTCCACACATCTGTCCAAAAATGATATAAAACTAAATATAACATTTGCTAATATTATTTTACTCAAGATTGATCTACATTCGCCAAGTGCTGCTCAGATTTGATCACACTTTCGCTAACATCCCCCCAAACACACACACACACACACAGACACACACACACACAGACACACACACACACACACACACACACACACAC